GATACATTGCATAACTTTCTGCAAACATATACATTGTATACTCACTTATGATAGTAAATAATTTATATATGGCTATATTCTCTGTCTAGCCACTCACACTGAAGGAAATGAAAGAAAAAGCTATATGAGCTCTTGCGTGTATTAAACATTTTGTTAATTATATTCTAAGTATTTTGACGTCAACTTTCCTGCTAGAAGTCATCACTAAGCATAAAAACTATAATAATCTCAAAATAATCATTATAATTAAATATTTATTTTCATTGATTAAAAATTGAAAATCCTAACTTATAAGTAAATAGTGTACGCAGGCGCCATGGCAGACTTTTAAAACCCGCCTACGTGGTGCAATCACGCCCCTTCATATCTTTTTCTACAACATTTTTTAGAGTGTTGTTATGTCAGACGATCTCGGCACAAAGTAATTCATGTGACTTTTATACAAATTATACAAACAACTTTATAGTAACCTAATTTCAAAAAAAATTAATAAGAAGGTCTTGTTGAAAAACAATAATTTTTTTTGTATTAAGCATGCAACATAATTAAAAAGATTTGCTAATAGTATGTGTTTCAGAAAAATAATTAAATACTTTAGTACTGACTGTAAGGTAAAGAACGAAAGTACAGCTAAAGGAAATTTTCTACTCACAAGATATCTAGACCAGGTTTAATTAAATATTATGAAAGAGGTTACATGGTACGTGTAAAAACGCATTGTTTTCTACTAACTATATTAAAAAATCAACAAATTTCATTAATACTCTTTAAGCTTTTATCAAATAAGAAATCAAGCCTACCATTAAAGTTTATTTATTCATCTTTTGATAGTGTCCAGCATTCTAAAGTTTTTGAGATGTCAACGTGTTTAGGTCTTTATAAGCTTTTTAAAGCTGATTTCTTTTATTTACGAAATGTACATGTATGTACTTTTTTCTGAAATAGATCACAAACTAACTATATCTGGAAAAAATAACTATACTCCAGTAAGTGGCTATGTTAAGTGGTCACCTGAAATCCCTTATTTTTATAATTTTTAAAGTTAATCCTTTAATTTGAAATGGGCTTGTACGTTAATATAAAAATTTCTCAAATATTTTTAGTAGCTTTTAACTTTATACTTGTCCATTTCAAAATTTTGATAAGAAGTTGTAACAGACCTTAGAATTTCTTGGATTTATTATCAAGGCAAATTCTTTTTTAAGTCTAACACATATAATAAATATGGGAAAAAATTATGACATTTTATTGTTTCTTCGTACGATGTATAAAATTAGTTTAATAGACAAATATTGACCACCACTTGCGATTATATGCTTGAGTTAACATGGTATATTTGGGTGGACTATTTATTAACATACTCGATCTTGCATGTATTTTTCAGTGCGTAGAGATGCCATCTTGACTCAAGGACACTAGTAACTTTCTCGATGTAAGCGTGTCTGCAAAAATAACTTAGGAGTAAAATAACTGAAAAGACGACCAGTGTGCAACTTATTTCTAGTGAATGGAACAATACCTAGAGAGATAACTTATTTGGACTCATTTTCACCGACTAAAAAAAAAAATTGTAATGAAAGAGCCACCTCGGCATGATGGAAGGACAATGTATATATTTAACACTTTCAAGTTTTGTGGATAACGTTTTTTACCTATGAAAAGAGAATTTTTAAAGTTACGAAAAGTTTATAAATAACTACAAAACTTATTTTTTGTTTAATGTGGTTACATGACAATTTCTATTTCATAGCACAGATAATGTATTTTAGTAGTTGTATTCTTTATTAAATGAAATTAAAAACATTTATAACGTAATAAAACTTCAAGAGAATTAAACAAAAAACTAGAAAATAACCATACCAAATCATCTTTTTCTTATTATACCACGTGGTTTTTAGTAATCTAATATCATGATAAATGCATTCTAATAGTTGTTCTATAAAAACTGCCTTTGACTACTTTAAATATTCAAATATCATATACATTACTTAATAATCTTTGGTAATACAATTTTTGAGTAATATCTATCGAAAACTGATCAATGAGAAAAAGTTATAACTTTAAAACCAGCAGACGTTAACATCTTCGGACTCTGACTGATATAATATAATATATAATACTAATATATAATATATAACTGACCATACTTAATGGATAATATAATTGCCAACGAGTACTTTTCATACATAATTATAGAATAATTATATCTTTGTCTCAAATTTATGATCTTAGAGATTGTAGCTAATCTAATATAATTGAAAATTGTTTCACTACGGTCAGTTGTTTTTCTGATCATGACATGATTTATGACATTTTCAAGAACGTCACTATAACGTCCTTTTGATACTAAGAGTTTATTTGATTGCAATCGTTAGGGTACAACTAACTTAATACCATTTGTTGAAGCTAGGGATATGGGAACCTTACATTGAATAAATACATTTTATTTTGGTTTTTATGCTGCGGAAAAAATTTAATCATCAAAATACATTGAATGAATAATTCTATAGTTTATAAATATTGCATTCACAGAATTTCTTATAATTAAAAAAAAAAAAAAAAAAAAAAAAAAACGTTAGTCTCAGAAATAGTATAAAATATTTGTAATAATCATGCAATGATCGTTAGCTGACAAAAGAATTGTTAAAAATTATCAGTTATTGTAATAGGCTCTACAGTTTCCACAGTGGTAGATTCTTTTTGTATTCAATGGAAGTAGTAAAAAATTTCTTATAAGCCTGCTGTTTAAATTAATATATCTTTTTTACTGAACTAAAACTTTCAACGACAATTTTCATGAAAAAAAAATTTTTAGTGAATCGGGAACAAATTTACACTTATATAATTTACGTGATGATTGGCGATGTAGAACAACTTTAAATGTGTAAGGCATTCTTCAAAATACACGCATGTTTGTTAAGTTACACTTATAATTTCTCTCTCTTACACACACACACACACACACACATACAAATTCACACAATTACACATGTATATTAATAGATTATTTGGTATAAGGGCAGACCAGATAAAGTTTAAGTCTTCAATCTTTCTACTCGTATTATATTTGACATCACAATTAAATTATGGATTTAATAAAAATTTCTTAATAGGCAAAAAAATATTTAAATTTAACGTAGTAAGATCAGACCACTTTCGTTAAAATAAATTGCTGATGCAAGAAAAAAACAACTGAAATTTGCACCTAAAATCACGAAAATAACTTAAAACGCAGTAAAAGGAATGACTTTCAAAAAATTCAAAAGTGTAATTTGCCAAGGTATTTAGAAGCTGTAAGTCATTTTAAGTATTAATAAATGCAAATGGAGGGCTTAATTAACTCGCAAAATTTTTTAATGGTCCTATTACGTTGCAACAAAGTGATTTTAATCCCTCAGTTTTCATTCTGTTTAATTTCTCAAAAATTATCTGTAAAAGAAATTGATGGCATCCAAGAACCAATAAAGTGGGCTGCAATATTTAATGGTACAGTAAAAAATAGTATTTATTATTCTCAACCGTGTATTGAGAATCTCAATTTGAGATACCTACCGAATGACATTGTAAGCTGAAAGCTGTTTGCAATAATGCAATTATTTATGAAGAGTATGCTTTTTTTAAAATTCGTTTGTTGCTCAAGGAGAGACAAATACTCATAAATCAATTAACAAGAGCTCTTTTTATTTTTTAAGAATGTACCTCAGATTTATCTATCACTTTTAATTAGAAAACAGGGTAAAAGTAAAAATTAAGTTTCACGTTGTAGTAACATCTAAATGGAGGGTTCTCTGAGTTATAAGCTGGTGTTGTATGAGTAACTATTGACGGTTAAACTCAATAGCAGCACCAGAATCTTTAAAATCCTTATTTTCACAGGTCAAGAATAACACTTTTTTGTAAATCTTAAGTAGTTCATTTAACTATTGTGTTGTGTGACCTCACTTGAAAATGTGAAAGTAATTTCAGTCGTTGACTAGTACTTTGACAGTAAATAATTTTTGGTCCAGTAAGTTCGTTTGCGATCAATTTTACAGTACTTTTGCAGTGTAAACAGACAACTTCTAACGCAAAAAGCATTTGCACTGTTGACTGCTTTTTAGCGAGACGTAAGCGTTAAAAATAATGCCTTTCCACGTAAAATTGCGTTTTTTTACAACTCTATTGAATGTAAAATGTTTCTCAAGTTTTTCAAATTTCTGCAAACTCTTACCGGGACACTATTTAGTAAATCTAAATTTAGATAAAACACAACAAGCGACTTTTTTATATTAGAGTGGCATATCGTAATCAGGTCATAGAATCATCACTTAAATCGTTTTAAACATATAATATTACTAATAAAAAGTCTGATAATAAAGAGCCTTTGCCTTCTTTATACGTTGGCAAATGATACCTTGTATTTTTATAACAGGCATCCAGGCATGGTCATCTATTGTCTTATACATAAAAAGGCGTCTAGGCATTGGTATCCTTTTTTGCTGATCTTTTTACTTGTCTATTATTAAGCATCATAGTCTTAAACTTTTTTCGTCAAGCAATAATTAATCTCGTCAGTCAGACATGAGCTATTCTACATAACTTTAAGAATGCAAGTTAAACTTTTTTAAGGAAATAAGTAGTTTAGTAAAAATGTAGATGCCAACACTGAAAAGATAAAAAAAATGTTGTTATCTTTTAACAAGCGTCATTAAGCGTATACACGCGTGAATTTAGTAGGGATATTGACATTGTAATTGTTTTATTAATATTTTGTAACGAAATTGTCAAACCATATTTTTGAAATTCTAATAAACGAGTTTAATCTAAGCTCGACAAGATTAATTAAAAATTTAAGGAGCAAATTGTAAACCATATCAGTCAATGAGAATGTCAATTCATTCGTTTTCTTTTAATTCCCATTATGTACTTCCAATTTTTTTTCGGAAAATATAAAATGTGTATTTTTTATTTTTTTTTGTCTTTTTTTTATAATTATTTATTAAAACGATTCTTAATATATAAGAAAATCAAAATATTATTGATTACAAACTTTAATTATACATAGCAGCTCTGAATAAGCTTTCATTTACTAGCAAAGTGTTGTAAATAACGGCCACGCATGTAATCTGTAGTCTACTGTAAGGCTTTTAAAAAAACGTTAACAAAAGAGCAAAAGAAGCATATTTTAGCCCAGTAGGATTTACTAACACCAAAAAGTATTATTAAGGGTTTAGAAAAGTTGTAGCCAGCCATTATTTAAAAACACATGTCTTATTCTTACCACAAAAGAGCCCTAGAGCACAGGCGATGAAGAAGATTTAGAGATAATAAAAGATTGAGATGCAAAAAAAGATCAAGCTGTTGCATCAAATGTTATGATGCCTCATTTGGTTGCTTAAGTTCCGACCACTTCGGCCGGTCAAGTAGGCACTGGCATAGAGTTCTGGATGATGGTTGTGTTCGAGGCCTGAGCTACAACTGACTCTTGCTTGGCCACTATTGGATTGTGATGCTGCTATGACTGATCCGTTGTAGCTGTCTGATGGTGCACTAGCTGTGGGAATCGAGCGATATCCTGTTTCAATTGTATATAAATTAATTCAGCGGCCTTATAAAATTGTAAGTATAATAAAAAATGTTTTTTTTTAATTTTTTTTTTTTTTTCGTATGTACTGTTACTTAAATAAAAAGAAAAAAATTTCTTTTTTCATTTAAGTAAGACATTACTTCATTTTTAACGTTCTTTTTCAAGTTACTGAAAAGTACTATATACTTTCTTGTTTAATTACTAAAAAAAAAAAAAAATGAAAACACCAACACCGTCCATGATTTACAGTCACATAAAAGGTTAAAATATTTATGAAAATTAAACGTTTTTTTTTATATACTACCTGAAACATTTTTTTTTTGTACCTATAAAACGTAATTCCAACCAATCCAAAAATTATCAAAACAAACTTTTAAGCTTATGTGTGTAAAACAATGCATGCACACGGTGACCAGAACATAAGCTGACACTGACTAAAAAGTGCTTATTATCGGAACCAAAGGCAAACAATGATTAATTTACTTTTTGGTCTAGGCATGTTATGTACTCTCATTTGTAATTTTTATTTAGAATTCTGTAGTATGAATTTTTACGAAAAGTCCAAGTGACCTCTTAGTTGCTATAGAAAAATTATTTTCATCAAAGTTTTAATATTAGGTTCTTATTTGCTTCAATAAAAAGAGCTCCAAGCAATCTATGAACAATCCAAGCAATATACTAACATTTATGTTAAATGGACAGTCCGAATTTTTGAAGTTATACTTCTACAGGCGCGTTCTACCCTACGGAGTAAATCAACGATTTCAGATTGGTGACCTTGAGGAAAAGTGTAACGGAAGTGGATTTTGCTTAATTCTCCCCCGTCATCCCGCCTCTCTTGACGTACTTCTGGTGTCCGTACACCACCCAACATACAACATCATCATCACACTGCACCACACCACATATTTTGAATTTTGACATTTTCTTATCTTTTAATCAATTTCTAAAAAAAAAACAGTTTTCAAAGAGTTTCTAACCCCCATCCTCTGGTACACTGTGCAAGCCCTTTACCCAGTCTGCTATGAGCGAGCCCAACTTAAGATAGTCGATAACTTCATTTTATCTTACAGTTTGTCACTTATTTTCAATGTAAATTTTTATTTACTGTGGATTCATTCATTTGGTTTCATTTTACATTAAATAAACAAGTTATTTAATCAAATATATTTTTTTGGTACATAACTTTTTCCAAAAATTTGGAACATTCATTTATTTATCATTAATTTTTTACTTTCAGAAGAAATAAATTATTGTTCATACATTTTTTTCACATTTTTCAGAACTTTCATAAATGAAAACAAAAACATTTCTGTACTGTATAAATACAATAATTAATTTTTATTGCGTTTTCATTTTTCACAATTTTTTCTCTGTAATTAATATCAAAATTCAGAGAGTTTGGAGGAGCGCAAAAATATGCTGTAACGCTAGAAATTATTTTTCTTACAAGGATGAACTTACATATACGCTTTTACGCATACTTGGCCCCTTTTTTTTTGTTTACAAAAAAAAAAGAAAGAAAAAATATAGATCTAATTGAAAATGAAACAGGTTTATCTAATCGTAACCTTTCATACAAACAAAAAATAAGAGCTCCATATGGATCTCATGAATCCAATTCAAAGTGATTTTTCCATAAGAGGGTTAAGTTGAACGGATAAAAAGTGGTAAAATGAAATGAGCTGCTGCTTTATAGGGTATTTTTTATTTTCTTAGGAAGTTGTTTTGAAATAGTTGAAAGATTCGATGAGAGAGCACAGTCTTGTACTGGCCAGCTGCCGTATTGTTGATATTCTGTTGTGCCATAAAATGTTGTTTATAATTGTTCTGTTATTAGATATAAGAATATTTATTGAAACCATACCCAACTAACGTAGGTATACTCATTTCAACGATAACTGCACCACTTTTGTACATAATATCGTTTTATACGAGGCATACTTATATTTATAATTACATCATTTGCCACTTCACTTTATAGAAGTATAACTTCTTACTTGGATACCTAAGCACCCACTATCCACTAGTTTAAATATTATAATAAAACAACTGAGATAGTATGTGCTTCATGATTGAAACAACTTCCCTCACAGTTACTAACAAGACAAGTAGCGTTATTATTCTACTCAAGTAAACATTTCAAATGTTTAACTAAAATTCAGTTAATACTAAGATTACTCTTAATATCATGCAAGTTAACAGTTGCAAGTATGAGTTGAAAATTGGATAAGAGCTATTATCAGCTAAACATGCTTTTCCTTAATGTGTCTGATTATACAAAACTATTGAAGCTTCAACCAACAGGTACTTAATATTTACAACAAGATCTTTAATATATTTCCACACATTAAAAGCACTTGCAAATCGATCTACGGAATCTTCCATGTGTTATTTTTAAACAAATTTTTCCTTTTTCGTTACATATTTTTTTAAGTAATGATTCTTACTACCTATCTTAAATACGTATTTTTATTAAAGCAATGAATTAAAACGCTATGACTTTATGATTTAAAAAATTGATAACAAACAAAGCCAGGATTTGAATTTTTTTACATCCTATACTCTACAGTCTTTGATTTTTCAGAGCTCTAAGGATATTTTCTTTCAGTCATAATCATTACTACGAGGAACCACTGACTTTAATCTACGAGATTCATCACGTCAGCAAGACCTTTATCATCCACGAAACGTCATACTATTTTCAGGCAAATACAGCACAAATGAACTGAACACTGCGGTAGTACTACAGGACGTCTTCTAGGTGGCCACCATCATGGCAAGAATTAAGGTAAGCAACGAAACGCGGTAACCAAGGTTATGATAGAGCATTAGACAAATTGTTTAATCGATCGATTGATAACGTTATTTATTAAGCCAAGAATCATGGACCCAAATGGCAGATTATTAAAAACAACAAGTTCAGTAAATATCTACAAGCTATAATTTACAATCATCTACGGATAAAATCCCTAACGCTAAAGTGTGTGTGTGTGTGTGTGTGCGAGAGAAAGAAAAAGAAAGAGAGAAAGAGACGACAAAGGTGGTATAAGAATTTCCTAGGTCATTATTTGTTATTGCTCGTAATTTATAATTAGTACTTTTTTTAATAATCAATACTTTTAAAAATAATACCACGGACAGTTGTACTCTATTCACTAATGACAATGATAATAAACGAGATTTTATTTGCAATTTCATATTACTTTTTTTGCTTACAGATAAATGGATGGCAAACAATTTTCTCGTAGATTATATTTTTCTGACCATACTTCTGTTCAGTATTCTTGAAAACTGAGATTAAAAATTGATGTTGATAAATTATGTCTCTAAGCTTGAGTAGCTATCCCTTTTTCTTCGATGTATATTCGATGTATACAAAAATCTTCTTATTAAAAACATATTTGTTCGGAATCCACACAGTTTATTTGGTCAAGTAAAAAGGTGTAAAAAATAAAAAAAATATAATCATGCAGAAAAGTACTGTGCATTACTTATGCCGTAAAATAGTCGTTGGCCCTAAAAGGCCGTTAATTTGCAGTTTCTCCCGTATAATATATAAATAGGGCTATTTTTTAGAGCTGTAAGAATTTAAAACTCACAAAAAATATGTAATTAAAAAAAATTGTTTTCTTTTACCTCACAACTTTATTACCACAGCAACAAAGTCCTATAGCTTAATCTTCACATTTTTTATCGCCACAAAAATACAAATACATATTTTACCTACTTAAAAATCAGGAAGATTCAAGATACTTCTATGAGGGTTATAGTGAAAAGCTTATCTCTCACGTAATTAATTGTTTATCAATAGGTTTTGATTCTGCTTCAATATCGATTAATGTTCGGCGTCATTTTCTTGACGCCTAAAATTGCATTCATTAGATGCATTTGAAGTTTTCCTTCCAATTCGACTACTTGCTACTTTTGGCATAATTAAGACTTTTGTAAGCCCTAAAAGATATTTTTATAAACTTTATTATGTTGAAATATATTTTTTGGTAATGTAGATCGACGTCTGATAACCCTGAAAAGGACCAGCGAGTTTCTAAAGTAAACGCTTTCTCGACTGAAGTTTCCAGCAAACGTGATTGCCTCTTTACCTCAGGTTGATATTTTCTAGCCTGTTATTGTCACACCACACTGATCAGAAAGAAAACATACAACGTTTGAAGCTTTGGAGCTAGTTGTTGAGCTCTTTTCTGACGTCTCCTTCCGTGAACTGTTTTGTGAAGGTCATATTAGCGTAATACGCAAGATTTTTTTATCAGAAACTTATCTTACAATTGCTCAAAAAACATTATAGTACGTTTTTTGCGAATTCTCCTTTGTTTAATACAAGCTGTTTTTCTCACATCACTTACGATGCAGAAACTCTTTATCTTTTTTTTTAACTAAACGAAGAAGTTGTAGTAGATGTTACAGTAAAAAACGTACGTATACATAGTTATGCACGATCTAACTGTTGGTAAGCAAATGGAGAGAGGATCGTATTTATGTGAGAAACACTTTAGTTGGCTGCGTTCAAATAAAAATTTTAAATAATCTGCTTACAATCAGCGCTCAGCTTTCTTACTTTTGTATACCTCGACACATAAATCGTAGATCTAATAACTCGCAACATCATTAACCATTAGTGTCATTTACTTATACAGCATTTGACTAACATGTGTAGAAAATCGCCTGGCAATAGGTAGGAAACAAAATATCAGTGAATTTTTTCTTTTTTTTAAATAATTTATGTAATTTCAAAGAAAGACATCAGTAACAACTTTTTTGAACCGAGAATTCACATATCTATTTTAAAAAAATGCGAATACTTAAAAAATTTGCTTATCAGAACGATAATACCAAGGACGTGAAGCATACATTTCAGCAAGACCAGAATATTATTGACAGTAAGGTGTAAGTGTGGTTAACTCTAACAATAGATAAAATCATGAGAATTAAATGATGGAGGCAGCTCACAGAGGTAGCATACAGAAAAA